GACCGTCAAAAATCGGTCCCGATCTCAAATAATATTCTTATAACTGGTCCCGAACTCCCGATGTAACCGGTTCCGATCAAAACCCAAAGGCCCGGTTAAGCTTCCTCATAACCGGTCCCGTTCTTGGTCCCAGGTCGGGACCAAACCAGTCCTATTTTAATTTTTTTTTTAATTTTCACTTTTTTTAGAAAATATAAAATTGTTATTCTAATATAATTAAAAATATGTAATTGGATCAATCAAATACATTTAAAAAAGAAAAAGATAAAGAGAGAAGAAATGAGAGTTGTTAAAAACCGAAACTGAATACAAGTCAAAATCATGAATTATAGCGAGAATTGTGAATGTTTTTTGTGTTTGTGAGTTTGTATCTCCCCCCCATATACTATATGACTTATGTATAGTGTATAGAGGGCAAATGAGACAAAAAATGAAGAAAAAAAACCGGTAATATGAACGTTGGGCATCATGTTGAATACCTAAATCTCTTAAACTCAGACTCTGATACCAAACTTGTAACACCTCAATTCGCATTTGCATAAAATCTACATATTCTATATAACATGAAATACAATATTACACACTGGTCCCATTATTTATAAATTGCTACATACAGAATTAGCTACAAACTTTTTGTTTATACGAATACATGAGTTGAATAACATAAATTCACAGATCATGTATAAATTCAGCTTCCCAAAAATCCATAGATGTAAAACAATAATAATAATCTCATTCATATCTTTTCTTTCCCTTTACCTTCCACATGTGCCCGACCTGTAATGCACATTTTGAAAACAAAACGATGGTTAAACCACAAGGTCTAGTGAGTAATTTCTTTGATTGCTATTACACGGTAAAAATCACCAAAATACTTTTTGGAAGCCAATCTTTGAAAAGACATCATGTATATAACATTTATTGTATCAAACCTCTTTTGTTGCATCATATAGATGATACAACCCCATTTCATCACATCAAACACATGATATATCAAACTTGTCGCATCAAACATATAATACACCAACTTATCGCACCATATAGATGCGATAAACACACTTATCGCACCCCAATGATGCGATAAACTCAACTCCTCGCATCATACAGATGCGATAACTTCCCTTTGCCACACCTCAAGGATGCGATAAAGATAACACTCTGATTCAAATCTTAGTTTCATCGCATCATATAAATGCGATAACAATAACTCATGATCAAAATACACAGCTCTTGATTCTGCCACCCTTATTACAATTTTACCCAGCTTTTGATTATGTCACTCTTATTACAAATTTTACCCAACTCCTGATTATGTCATCCTTATTACAATCAGTTGATAATATCCCAAATCAATTGGTAATTCAGTAATTTATAATTTTCTATCTCCTAACTAAATTTAGAATCTAAAATCGTTACTTTATTTTTATGTTAGTATGTAATATTTTGGATGTCAAATCAAAATATAATTACTCAATATGTTTTAGATATTACTCGACGTGTTTTGGTATGTGTGACATTAATTTTTTCGATTAAATTAAATTTCTTTTGGTTTTAGGTTATTAATTATTATACGATTTGATTTTTCTTGTATCAAATTAAATTCCTTTCGATTATAGGTTTACTGAAAATATGTGAGATTTAAACATATGTGGTGTCTCACATATTTGATTTAAAATAGCTTACATAAACGAAAAAAAAAAGAATTTATGTTTTCCTATTGGGGATCCCCGTTCTTCGACAGGTATGAGGATGTGATCATATTCCTCGGCGGGAACGAAGACGAAGATGAGGGATCAGGGATGGGGATTGAGGTACTCATCCCATCCCCATGCCTAAGTTGTCATTCTTGCTGAAAGACGCTTAATTCCATCTTCTCTATAGTTTCGATCTGATAAGTTTACTTCTCTTTACTTTTAGTGTTTACCATGTAATTAGTTTAAATTTGTTATATATATATATATATATATATATATATA